TAATAATTTAAATGTTTTAGGCCTCAGTTTAAAATTTAGGCATTATGGAGGGTGACGTATATTTTAGAAATCCTTTTTTTAATCCTTTTCTCCTATTTGTTCAGTTTTAGAACTACTCATCTTAATTATATCTACATACTCCTCTTACGTTCTTGTTTTTTTACCCCAAAGGTATACTACAGTAATACCATTCTGTTTGGCTATTTTTCCACTTAACAATATAATCTTTTTTTTTTTGTTGTTGTTAAGAGATGGGGTCTCTCACTGTGTTTTCCAGCCTGGCTCCAAACTAGTTTCATTCTGTCCTTCCCCAGGCCCCTAAATAGCTGGGAATGATGTGTCCAGTAGTTGAGGAGGGTCCTATTTCTTTTCTGTAGCTAAATTTATTTCTTACATGACTGTACTGTAAGTTGACTCTTTTTTTTTTTTTTTTTTTTTTTTTTTTGCGGAGCTGGGGATTGAACTCAGGCCCTTGGGCTTGTCAGGCAAGCCCTTATTCAACTGAGCCATCTCTCCAGCCCCTTGACTCCTCTCCTATTGTTGAGTGGTTGAGTTTCTTCCAAACGTTCCTGTTACAGATAACACTGTACTGCGCTGAGTGACCTGGCATAGACATTGAAGCGTGTTACAAACCTGTCTCCGGGCTGCATTCCCAAGAGCCGTTGTTATTAATAATACTCTCAATGTGAGCCATGCCACAGTGGGCCTTTAGTTCTAATGCACCATGGCTCGGCGTCCTAACTTCGTATCCCTGCCGTTAGGTGAGATTTCAGAAACGCTGGGCCTCCCAGTCAACTCAGGAAATCCCACACCTTAATGTTCCGAAGCTGCCAGATCAGTAGAAGTCCCTTCTGTGCCCTGGCCAGGCCCTGCGCCGGTATTGCATGCCGTGCACTGCCTTCAGTGGCCAGCTGGGGCCTGTCATTCTTCGATGAGTTCCTTAGCAGCCTGCTTCCCAGCAGTGCCATTAGAGCTCAGGGAACCGGGCTCAGAAGTGACTTAGGAACAGCCTTTCTGCACACACGGATCCCTCATCAACTGCTGGAAACTCAGCAGCTGAGCTTCCGTTTCCAACAAAAGTGACCGTTTTTGCTGCGGTCTGAATGTTTGTGTCTCCCAGTCTTAGATGTAGAAATCCTGACCCCCAAAGTGATGGTTTTAGAAGATAGCTGTTAGCAGGAGCGAATGGGCTGATGCCCACGTAAGAGACCCCAGAGAGAGACCTTACTCTTTCTTTTTTTTTCTTTTTTAAGGAAGGGTCTACAGGGTGTTCAGGGTCTCACTACTAGATCGGACTCGTAGTGATCCCCGTTTACATCCTCCCAAGAGCTGGGATTACAGGTGCGCGCCACTATGCCCAGTCTCCATTGCTGCCTCAGCGTGCCTTGGGGGCGGGCTGGCACAATAGGCCCCAGCCCGTGCCTGCTTGCAGGCGCTTTAATCGCTGAGCTATTTGGCTGGCCCTAGAAACCTTCCTCTTTCTGCCTGGTGAGGCCCCGGAAATCCGCCCTACACACACTCACAGCTGCGATCCTGATCCTGGACTTGAGTCTCCCAAGCCGGGAGAAGGGTGCTGTCCAGCCTGCCGTATTTTGTTATAGCAGCTCCACTGGATCAAGGTGGTCATTAGCAGGGCCGCCTGATCACTGCTGCTGTGACGTCCAGGGACTGAAGTGCTAGAAGTGCAGAACGTGGCGTGGGCAGAAAGGCTGCGTGGACCCCTCCGGAGCAGGCAGTGTCAGAACTGACGTGCGGGGTGACCCTGGAGGGGGGATCTCCAGCCTCGTGCTTTTCTAGCCTCTCGAGCATTTGCAGTTCAAGGTTTGCTTAGCCCGCCCTCATGGGGATTTTTCCTTGAAACATGAATGTGCTTTTGGAAGTGGATCTCAGCTACAGAGGTGAGAGTTGGAGTTTTAGACCCTGAAGTGCTTAAATTTGTGTTTTGTTTGCTTTGTCTTTTTGAGACAGGGTCTTGCTATGCAGCTCAGGCTGGCCTTGAACTCATTTTAGCCCAGGCGGTATTGAACTCGCGGTGATCTTCCTGCCTCCCGAGTGCTGGGATTACAGGCATGCGCCACTACGCCCAGCTAATTTGTGAAAAAAAAAGGTTTATAGCAAGTTGGTGAGAGGGCTGCTTCTGGAACCAGGGTCTCCTGATTTCTTTCTCTCTGTTCTTTGGTGCTACGTTCCCAAGGGAGTATCCTCTGACCGACTGGGGTGTTGGTTTGGTTAAATTTCTTTTTAGATCCTCTTGCAATGTGTCTGAGCTCTTGCATATAATAAATTCTTAACTCATTTTTAAACTTTTTTTTTGAAATATAAAATGTAATACTTCTGAGCATTTGCCATATGCTCAGGGACTCTGTTTAGCACTTTACAAGTTCTAACCCTCCGGCACAGCCCTGTGTAGTTCAGTACTATTATTATCCCCACATTACAGGTAAGAAAACTGGGACCTAGTGATTATATGACCCAGAAAGTGCAGTTAATGAGTCCTGTTAAAACGGGGCTTAAGAGTCCTGCTTGGATTGGCAATGTGTGTGGTCCCTTCATTGTTTTTTCCCTTTTCCAGCTGGGGTGGCAGCTATCTCTCCCCTACCCCCAAACCAGGCTTCTATAGTGGATCAATAACCTTGTGAAGCTTTCCCTCCCACCTGCTTGCCGTTGCCCACGCGCCCACCTCACGAGCTGCCTCTTTTCTAGGCTTTTAGAAAGAGCTGATCTGAGGTTAACCCAGGACGTGCTGAATGGAGAGCTGAAGAGGCTGTCAGAAGGGCTGCAAGGCACCAAGCACAGCATTGTGATGAAGCTGCTCCGAGTGGCCCTCAGCGGACAGCTGGTGAGGCGTGCGGTGGCCGGCCTGCCCCTCAGACCTCCCCTTTTCCTCTCATCTAACTCACCGCAGGCGCCAGGCTCCCTTTGGGGGACGCAACAGTGGCTGAAGCGCGGTCAGTTCTGTGCTCGAGTCCTTCAGCAGACTCTGTTTCTGGGGTAGCGCTGTGTACCAGCACCCTGGGAAGTGCGGAGGATGACAGTCCCTGCTTCCTGGGCTTTCAGGTTACTGGGGAGGATAGACACCTAAGATGGGAAAGCAAGGGCTGGCCAGAGAGCTCAGCAGACTAAAGTGCCTGCTTAGGCAGAGTGCAGGGGCCGGAGTTCAATCCCCAGCATGCCGCGCTGGCCCCGCTCCTGGGGTGCATTGAGATAGTGATTGAGACTGGGCTTAGTGGTGCGTGCCTGTAATCCCAGAGCTTGGGAGGCTGAAAACAGGAGGATCACTATGAGTCTGATCTACGTAGTGAGACCTGCACACCCTGTAGACCCCGTCCTAAATTCATTTAAAAAAAAAAAAAAAAGGGCAAGCAGCTGGGTCTGGCGGTGCACATCTGTGGAGTTCAAGGCCAGCCTGGGCCGTAAAGTGAGTTCACGGACAGCTTGAACTCTGCAGCGAAACCCTGTCTCAAAAAGACAAAAAACAAGGGGGCTAGGGATACAGCTCAGAGGCATAAGCACCTGCCTGGCAAGTGCAAGGTCCTGAGTTCTATTCCTCCTAGTACTGTGAAAAAAAAGGGAAGCAGGCTGTTGTGACCTCCTTCATCTAGTGGTAATCTGTCTACCCTGTGACAGATTTTTTTTTTTTTTTTTTTTTTTTTTGCGGAACCGGGGATTGAACTCAGGCCCTTGCGCTTGCCAGGGAAGTGCTTATTCCACTGAGCCATGTCCCCGGCCCGACAGATTTTTTTGGGGGGGGTGGTACTGGGGATTCAACTCAGTACCTTGTGCTTGCCAGGCAGGTACTGTGCCGCTAAGCTGTATTCCCAGCCCCATCTAGGATAATGGAAGACCAGTGAAAAATTGAAGAACAATAAAATGCAAACTTTGCTGGTCTGGTGTGGGGGGTGTGCATGCCTGTAGTTCCAGCACTCAGGAGGCTGAGGCAGCAGGATCGTTGTGGGTTTGAGGTCAGAGCCAGCCTGGACCATATAATGAGTTCTTAAGGCCAGCCTGACCTTCATAGTAAGACCCTGTCTCAAAACAAAAAACCTAAAATAATCATGAAGGGGCCCGGGAGATGGCTCAATGGAATAAGCACTTCCCTGGCAAGCACAAGGTCCTGAGTTCAATCCCCGGTTCCACCAAAAATAAATAAATAAATAAATTAATTAAAAATAATCATGAAGTAAATTGCAGACTGCTCCCTGGCATGCTGGCTGGCGGCTGGGCTGGCCCAGGGAGCTGCTGAAGCTGGGGGCTGTGCATAGCATGAGACCGGAAGGTGATTGCTCTTTCTGTTCTTAGCAAGGACCGCCTGTAGCCGAAATGATGGTGTCCTTGGGACTGAAGGAAGTGCAGGAACGAATTCAGAAGGCGCTTTCCAGCTAGGGGGAAGCTGTGGAGGCCGGGGGAGGCCGCCCCCGGAACCTGTGACTTGAAGCTGCCTTCAGACCAGGCGACGGCCTGAGGCTCACCCGAAGGGGAGGCGTGGGGAGCCGAGCGTGGAAGCATCATCGTCCTGTGCCGCTTGGTGCACTGGATGCCGCTGCAGACCCGTCCTCACCGCTCCGCCGAGAAATCGCGCACAGCTGCCTCCTGAGTGGCGGCACCCAGCGCCTTCAACTCTAGGAGCGGAGCTCTTTGCCAGCTCAGTGTGCAGAGAATTTAGTCCGCAGTCACGTGGTTCCAAGGCGGGCAGCTTGGCAGCGGGGGAAGAGCTCATGCTACACGAGCAGAGGGCAGTGGGGGGGGAGGCCCAACCAGGCGGCGCCCGCTGGCCCCCACTCCCCCTGGGCCCCACCTCCCAGTGTCCTGTTAGCTGTGAACTCAGAGGGACGAACTCATGAATCTGGGGACTTCCCCAAAGCACCTGGGAGTGAGTGGGACCAAGGGAGCAACTAGATGTAAGCTGTGACAGCAGCTCCCTCCTGGGCTGGGCAGAGGCTAGGCATTGGCTCAGCATAGCCAGCCCCCCAAAGTAGGCCAGCAGGCTGACGCCCACGTGTGCCACAGAACTAGAGGCTGCCGGCTGGAAGGCCCGGGTGCAGTGGCGGCACAGTTGGCTCCTCTTGGCTTGCAGACAGCTGCTGACTAGCTGTGTCTTCTCCAGCCGTCCTCTGGGCACCCACCTCTCTGGTCTCTGTGTGTCGTAGCCTCTCCTTACCGGACGTCGGTTAGGTTAGCGCAACCCTCAGAGCTTCACCTCATCTTGACACCTTTTTAAGGCCTCTGCATACACAGCCTGCATTCTGTGGCATAGCAGGGTAGGCCTCCCACAAGGGCATTGGGGGGCAGGGGGACACAGCCCATACCCTGTCTGGACTCGGGGACCCTGGGTCTCGGGCACACTTTGGAGGTCTAACAGTAGCAAGACCAGGCCCGAACTGGGTTACTGGCGGCCTTGGAGGAGACACAGGAGGGAGCTTCTTGGGTGCCAGGGTCAGCACCCGTATTCTGTGCTGCTCTTTGTCCTTGGACCTTGGGATGAATTTGTCTCCCCCAAAGTTGTCCTCTAGTTCTCCAGACATGGCCCACGGACTGGAGACGGACAGCCTTCCTGCTTTTTGTGTGTTTCTTCATGTCTACCCTTCTTCCACCATTGCTAGTAAGTCGTCTGCAGATTTTGAAGCACTGTCTTCCTTGGGTGATGAGGAACAGCTGAGGCGCAAGAAGGGCGGCAACTGGGCCCAACCCCCACAGCGTGCTAGTCTTCTCCAGACGGCCAGCCTCAGTGTGCGTGTTCTAGCCTCCTAGGAATCGTGCCCTTGTATGTCCTGCCTGCATTTACTATGCCAACTTGTGTAACTGGTAGGCTGTTGAAATGGTAGCCAGGCGTGATGGCGCATGTCAGTAACCTCAGTATTGGCAGGCTGAGGCAGGAGGGCCGCTGTGAGTTCAAAGGCAGCCTGGGCTACATAGTGCAAGGCCAGTCTAAACTATGTTGTAAGATCCTTTCTCAAAAAACAAGCAGAAAAAAAAAAAAAAAAGCAGATGTAGAGTTTGACTTGTGAGGCTACTTCAGGAAATCTATTACAGCCTCTTTTTCTGAAACAGGATTTTGCTGAATAGTCTGGTTTTGAACTCCTATGTAGCATAGGCTGGCCTTGAACTTGTGCTCCTCTTGCCTCAGCCTCCCAAGTGCTTGAATAGCAGTGTGTACCACCATGCCAGCTGTCCCTTCCACCTTTTTTGTGGTTCTGGGACTTGAACTCGGGACTTTGTGCTTGCCAGGCAGGCGCTGTGCTGCTGAGCTCTAGCCCTAGTCCCCCATTCATTCCTGAGCGCCTTTGGGGGAATCCTGCTTCTAGACCATGAAGCCACTCAGGCAGCCCAGTGGCGTATCCTCTTGAGACCCTCCAGCCCCAGCCAGCTGCTGCGGTGGCTGCATCCCTGGCTGGTGGAGCCGGGGCCTGCCGAGTTGCCCAGGCTGGCTCTCGACTTGTGCCCAGAGCCAGCTGCTGCACAGAGCTGCTCAGCTGCTCAGGGACTTCAGACCCGGGAGCTGTGCAGTAGTAATGTTCACTGTTTAAATCCACTGGGGGTGGGGGGCTTGTTACCTAGTGACAGTTGACCACCACCCTTGCCAGGAGTGGGGACAGGAGTTAGTTTGTAAAACCTCGTCAAGTTGTAGTCTGCTTAAAAAGCACATCACATATGTTCTTCGAGCCAGGAATGGAAACCCTAACTGAAGCGTATTGGAGATGCTGAGAGTTGGGAAATCCCTGGCACAACCAAAGAACCAGATCTTGGGAGAGACAAGGACCAGGCGTCAAGGAGCTAGCAGCAGCCAGCGATGGAAACAAACTGACAGAGTTGTTGCTGTTTTTAATTTCTCTCTCTTTTTTTTTTTTTTTTTTGGCTTCAGTTTTGGAAGCCTGAGCTAATGGCCGACTGAGGTCGTGCTGCATTTCTTAGCCAGGAATATGCAGTCCCACCGGGGTTATATCCAGTGCAGGACAAGTTCCCAAGGAACACTAGGGGCTCTTTGCAGAGGAAGGGGTAATGGTGGAAAGGATATGGCTAGCGGAGCAGTTGTGTGCTTGTGCCGGCCTTTGTGTAAGCGCGTAGCTTCAGGCCATGCTGGCAGTCCTTAAGCCCAGAGTCGGCCTCACAGCCTGCCGCGTGAGGTGGCGGTGGGCTTCGCTACCTTGTCCATTTCCTCCGCTCCCCTCCTCCAGGTTAAAGGCGGAAAACTGCTAAACTTGGGCTGTGATAGTGAAGAGCTCAGGCCCAGTTCTTAACCCTCTAACGTCAAAGCTCCTGGCTCGGTGTGACACATGTGCAACCCCAGTAGTGTGGAGGCTGAAGCACCCCAGTAGTATGCAAGTGGGGGAGCCTGGGCTACAGAGCAAGTGCAAGGCCAGTCTGAGAGAGATAGTGAGACCGTGTCCAGCAGGTGAGAATGGGCCTCGTTGCCCACTTGTGATCCAGCCCTTGGAGGCTGAAGCAGGAGGATTGCGTGTTCAACCCCAGCTTTTGCAACTTAACAAGACCCTGTCTCAAAAAAAGTAAAAGGGTTAGGGATGTAGCTCAGTCCAGTGGTTCTAAGTTCAACTCCCAATACCACGAGGGGGTAGTAAGGCAGGCTGGGCGGATCCGAAGGACAGAACTTCCCCCTGGGGCTCATAAGTGGGCTCTGCCTGGAAGCACGTGGCACGCACTCATCTGGCTGCGCCTGTGTGGTCTCTGAGGCTTGTGTCTCGTCTCCTTCCTCGTCCTCCCACTAGGCCAGCCGTCCCTGCTGCACGTTGCTAAGAACAGTCCCAGCAGGGCTACAGCCGAGCCCTCTTGTGCCGCGCATTGAGTAGCCTGTGGGCCGCAAGGCAGAACAGTGGCCGTGGCAGCAGGCCTGCTGTCTTGGTGAGTGCAGCTCCTGCCCTATGCACATTTCTTCAGTGGCATTTAGAAACTCCATTCTAGAAAATTATACTTTGATAGCCAAATTTGGAATCTCATTCATGCCATCTTTCTCCTGCTTTATTACATGGTACTGGTATATGAAAGTATAAGCTGTATTTGTAAATGTTTTCCTGGTTTATCACAACAAATACAGAATGAAGGCAGTAGGAAGCACCTGGCATACACTGTCTGATGGGTAGTACAGAGTCGAGTAAATATCTGATGAAAAGAACAAGGCCTTAGTTAGATCCATGTCTTCACAAGCATCACTCAAGAACTGGTCCATCTCTGCCAGATTCGAGTTTCCCAGGATCACTTAACTACTTCAGAACTCTGCCTTCTGAAAGATTTGCTATTGTAGTTGACTGGCCCATTGCCTGTTCGCCACAAAGTGGCAGTGTGAGTTGGACTCGGGGCCTTTGCAATGCGTTACATACCTGGCTCTAAATTTTTTTAATGTATTTTGTACAGGTCTCATTCCATAGCTCAGACTCTTAGTGATCCTCCTGTTTTCAGCCTCCCCAGTGCTGGGAGGACAGGAATGCACCACCATGCCCGGACTCGGTCACTGACTTAGTGTGCCCAGAGGTGGGGCCTGCACAGCATGTGGTGCCAGGGATCAAACCCTGGTCCTTGTGCTTGCCTAAGCAGGCACTTAGTCTGCTGAGCTATCTTGCTGGCCTAAATTTTTTTAAACTATATTTTCAAACAAAGTCTTGCTAGATAGCCCAAGTTCAGCCCAAACTTGATATTCTCCTGCCTCAGCCTCAGAGTGCTATGATTATGGGCCGGGGCTCCATGGCTGGCTCATTGCCTGTAATTTTTGCATCGAATTCAGTGATGTGGGAGATGCAGCCTTTGTCAAAGACTTGATAGAAAGGATGGAAAGCTGAATGGTTCCATGTGGAGGGATAGGGGCCCTGCCCCTTAGCTCAGTTCTTTAAGTGGCTGCTTCAACAAAGCAGTCAGGCTCAGGTTGCTGTGGTTCGATCCCCACAACACAAGACAGCCAGTCATGCCTTGAAGGCATTCGGTGCAAAAAAAAAAAAAAAAAAACCACTTCTGCCATGTGGAGGGATATATTCTTGTGTCACAACAGATTTCTTTTTTTCTTTCTCAGGGGCCAGGATAATAATTTCTGGGAGAAAGAAGAAGCTTTCCTTAAAAAGGTGGTAGAGGCTGTAGAGGGATCAGGGAGATGCCTCGGTAGAATAAGCGCTCGCCTGGCAAGCAAGCAAGCAAGCGCAAGGGTCTGAGTTCAATCCCTGGTTTTGAAAAAAAAAAAAAAAAAGGCTGTAGAGGAGAAAACTTTGGGTTTTTTTTTTTTTTTTGAGTGCTGAGAGTTGATCTTGGCTTCACACTGAGCTACACCCCCAGCTCTTTGTTATTTGTTTAGTTCTAGCTGGTTTCTTCTAGCCAGTCTCTGTAACATGCTAGCTGGGAATCAAATTCTTAGTCTGGCTGCAGTCTCTTCTTTTTTGAAGAAAGTGAACTACAGTTCAGGCTGACCCTCACTGTGTAGCCCAGGCCTGTCTCACTGGAGCAGTCCTCCTGCCTCAGCCTCCTGTTCCCTGGGGTACTGTCCTTACAGGCCTGGGGTGTCGTGCCCATCATACCACACCATCTTGAGTAACTGGGATTACAGGGCGGAGGACAAGCATTATGTTCAGAGCTGTCGAGGAACTTAGTCTATAAAATCACCTTTGAACTAGGTTGTGAGTGTTGGGTCGGAGTTTCCTAGGAAGCAGGATAGAAGGTTTTCCCAGGAGAGGGATGACAGCTTCACACAGTGGGGCATGGCTGGGACCAGCAGTTGGGGAAAAGTTAACAGTGGCTGTTAGGAAACCAGGTAAAGACAGAATCCAAGTGGCCTTTCTTTGTCCAGTGAGATATTCCCAAGGTGCCACCTAACAAAGATAAGGTCCAGATTCTAACCTTCCTAAAGGAGATGCCTTGGCCCAGTGACAGGTCCCAGGCTGGATGATGCAGTCACATCAGCAAGGCCCCAGTCTGCACCTTTCCCTCCTCCGACCCAGCCCCACGGCAGCTGGGCCTGCTTGTCTCCAGTGGGCTGCCTGCCGCAGCTGGGCTCTGCGCTTCCTCCTTGGTGTCCACGGGTGGGGAGTGGCCGTTTGGAGTTGCCACCTAGAAGCAAGGGAGTTCCCCCAGCTTGACTTCTGCATTTTGGAGTCCTTCACTGCTGGGGAAGTGAGGGTCCCTAAATACCAGACCAGAGCTGTGGGGGGAGTCGGCTTGTCCGTGACACCCAAGACTGGCCTGGTCTGGGGTGGAGGGACCTTGAGAAAGGTGGGGTATGGTAGTGAAGACAAGGACTGGGGCTCCATGAGGCAGAGGCGGAGCCTTAGAATGTGTTCAGCAGGGAAGTGACGTCAGCAGACGGGTTTCTGTTCCTAATTTCTATTTTTGAAGGTTTTCCAGCAGGGAGGCCATTGGGGAGGTGACTGCACAGGGAGGAAGGACATTGTTTCATACAGAGCTGTGTTTCCTCCTTAGAGCTCTCCAGAGAGATAGTGCTAATTGAGCGTGTACCTGGGAAGAGGTTTCTAGTTTCAGAAGAGGGCCCCACACATGCTTGGCAAAACGTTCTATCAATAAGCTACATTCTCACCTCTACCTTTTAAATTTTTCATGCAAGGGCTGTCCAAATAGCAGATTAAAGCGCCTGCAAGTAGGCCCAGGGGCCGGGGGTTCTATCCGGGCCTTGCTGTGCTGGCCTTGCTCCCCGGGGCGCGCTGAGACAGTGATGGAGACTGGATGGTGGTGCACGCATGTAATAATCCCAGCTCATGGGAGGCTGTAAACAGGTGGATCATTACGGGTCTGATCTAGTAGTGAGACCCTGAACACTCTGTAGACCCTTCCCAAAAATACAAAATAAAATTTTCGTGCAGGATCTTACTAAGTTTGCCATACTGGCTCCAATTTGCAATCCTGCCTCAGCCTCCCGACCAGCTGGGCTCCCAGGAGTGAGCCACCCACCGTGCCT